GGACTAAAATAAATGAGTAATTATTAACATAAAAGAACATTTTAATAAAATTAATATTTTTCTTGGACATTAACTTACCAGACAATAAATAACTGCACAAATTAAATAATTGTAATGCAAATAAATCTATATTTCTTGTTCTCTGAAAGTGAAATATTTCCTGTTGCTCACACCAAACAAGTCAGTATAAGACTAATGGCATGGTAATCGGCTGCTAAAATATTCACTGCTACGGTAGTAGTGGAGAGAAATGGTGAGCCTGCGTGTAAAACACGTAAGGGAAATGAATTGCAACATGATTATAGTAATCAGTCATTAGCGAATGTTGTAATTCTTTATTAATAATTATGTATAACAGGATATTATAAAAATTAAGTTACAAAATTTTTATTAAGACATTTCTTGCATACTGTTATATTGGCTAGGCCACAAAAATATTCCTTGTGGACTGCAGGAGGACCTTGGGCTACAAGTTTGACATGCTTAATCTAGAAAAACTATGCTTTCTCTTCCTGCTCCACACTCAGTTAATACAATCTCATTTATTCCTACACTATCTTCAATTCTTATGCTTTCACAATGAAGAAGAAATGCACATAAACTAATTCTGGCCTCCTGCTCCCATAATTTAATTTCAGCTCCCTGCCAAAATGTCCATATAATTGTTCTTCAAGAATCTCAAATGTCACCTGTCCCACATATACTCATTACCTGTCCCTGCCAATGAACTCCACACCTGAGTTTCCTACCCTGAACACTGGCACCACCTTAACTTCTCTTCAACTCCCATCTCCCCCAGTCCTGAGCTAAAAAGGGCTGTGGAGGCTCTCTGGCAGACACAACCCAGAATTGGGAGTGAAACTTAGATTGTAACCTTACCTACCCATTAGGGATTGTGTGATTTAGTGGAGCTGGAACAGAGATCTCTGGGACCCTGTCTAGTGAGACAGACTGGTAAACCAGGACAAGTGGAATAGGGAAACTGAGACAGATAGTTAAACAACCAAGTGGTTTACAGCCATTCTATTGTAGTAAATTGCAAAATCCTAACTCCTCTACCCAAGGACACTTAAGAGTAAATGACTACCATCAACAAATCAACAAATGACAAGTGCTGGGTACGATGTGGAGAAAAGGGAACCTTATACACTGCTGGTGGGAATGCAACTGGTGCAACCATTATGAAAAATAGTACGAAGTTTCCTCAAAAAATTAAATATGGAACTGCTATTTGACCCATTGACCCCATGTCTAAGGATATATCCTAAGAAACCCCAAACACCAATCAGAAAGAATGTATGCATTCCTATGTTCAATTTACAATAGCTAAGATCTGGAAACAGACCAAGCATCCATCAATAAACGAGTGGATAAAAAAGCTGCGGTACATTTATACCATGGAATACTTTGCAGCAGTAAAAAAGAAGAATCTCTTACCCTTTGAGACAGTATGGAGGGACCTGGATAGTATTATGCTAAGCGAAATAAGCTAGTCAGAACAAGACAAGTATCATATAATCTCACTCATATGTGTAATCTAATGAACAAAATAAACTGATGAACAAAATAGATCCAGAAACATAGAAGCATAGAACAGACTGTGGAATCTTAGAAGGAAGGCAAGGGAAGGGCAGGCTAAAAGGAGTCAATGAGGGAGAGGTGTGAAGGGGACATATGTAATACTTTCAACAATAAAGATTTAATTTTAAGAAAAAAGTGTAGAGATCAACCAAAGGACTTGTATGCATGCATATAAGCATAACCAATGGACACAGACACCAGAGGGTGAGAGCATGAGCGGGGAAGGGAGGAGGGAGGCGGTCAAAGGGAGGCAATGGGGGGATAAGGACAGGATACATATGTAATACCTTAATCAATAAAATAAAAGAAAAAGAAAAAAAATGTGTAACAACTAAAAAAGAGCAAAAGGTTTATACTTCTCCTCAACCAGAGGGTAAATAGCTTAAATCACCCTACTCAAGGAAGATAGATAGCAAAAATTCAATTAGTGCCATTTGCCAACCACACCCAAGGACTGGTAAAATTAAGGGAATAAATCTCATTTTGGTGTTTCAACGTAAAGCTATTGAATATTCTATTGAGATCCTCCTCTAAGACCTTGCCTAAACTCCCAGCCTTTAAATCCCTCAAGATGCAGGACCTAGAGCATGAAGAGCATGCTCTTTTTCCCAGGAGCATGCTCATGCCTTTCCATTTTCCTTCTTCTCTCCTCACAAACTCTCTTAAACTCTAAGGGAACTCATGAAACTTGCAATCAGGGGAGCCATGGGCAGCGGCAGTTTGTCCCAGGCTAACCCCCTGAACCTGTTTCCATGGCCCTTCTTTCTCTGACTTTCCAGTGAGCTGACAGTTGCCCCACCTAGACTCACTTCTTTACCGTGACTTTTATTTCTCAAGTGAGCCAAAGCAGCCCCACCTAAGCTCCCTCCTGTTTCTTCTTCGGTCCTACACCCTTCCTTGTTTCACTGTCCCCACTTTAATAAGCATACTCTCAAAATCACCTGGATTTGTGCTGTGAAATTTTTTCTGCACAAATCAAGAACCACACACTACTGGCTGCTCTGGGCCTGTTTCATGTCTGGTAACACTAGGACTGTATAAAATGCTTACAGCTCTCATCACCTTCATTCCCTCCTTACCAGTCTCACTAACATTGCCCTGGCCTGTCCTCACTACATTTTGTCAAGCTATTTTAATGCCTTCCTATCTGGCCTAAAGTTACATTCACAAAACACATTTTTCATTATATCTCACTTGCTTTAAAAACCTTTAAAAGATTCCAGTTGGCTATAGGATAAAATTCAAAGTTCATATTATTGTACTCATAGGCCTTTCTGGTCCCTGCATAACATGAAACTTACCTTTGTCTAAATTGGATCACATATGTAATTAGGATAAGCACTTAGGGAGTAAAAAAAATCTAACCTATTCTCTTTTTATATATATATTTTTTTATTTATTTCAGAGAGGAAGGGAAAGGGAGAGAGAAAGAGAGAGAAATATCAATGATGAGAGAGAATCATTGATGGGCTGTCTCCTACATGCTCCACACTGGAGAACAAGCCTAAAGACCATGCATGTGCCCTGACCAAGAATAGAACTGTGACCTCTTGGTTCATAGGTTGATGTTCAACCACACAGTTATGCCAACCAGGCCTATTCTTTACACTAAATGTAATAGTTAAACAAAAATTTAGATTTTAAATAGTAAGCTATAAGAGTTTTAGAAAATATCATAATTCTATCTAATAAAAAGGGAATATGCTAATTGACCCTCATGCCCATTGCAAAGATGGTAGTGCTCAGAGCCAATAAAGTGGGAATATGCTAATTGACTGCTCTACCCTCAAAGATGGCAGCACCCAGTCCCCTCAGCCCTGCTTGGGCAGGCACGCAGCAAGGCCAGGCCCACCCCAAGGTGGGCCCAGCCACTCCACGCACCTACCTCTGGAGTCTCCCAGTCACCTCAGCTCCCCAGCCACCGAGGGCCAGCCTGAGGCACAGGCAAGCCTCAAATGGCAGCTTCCCAGCCGCCCAGGGCTGGCCAGGGGAGCAAGCAAGCCTCAGATGGCGGCTGCCCAACCACCTAGGGCCGCCCGGGGCTCAGGTGGCCAGGGCTTGCCGAGGCCTGCACTGCTGACGGTGACAACAGCAGAGGTGTGATGGGGCATCACCTTCTCATGATCACCAGGTCGCCTCCCACCCCTGAGGGCTCCTGGACTATGAGAGGGGGCAGGCCGGGCTGAGGGATCCCCCTCCAGTCCATGAATTTTCATGCACAGGGCCTCTACTTTATTTATAATCTTTGAAGAGAGGAGGGAATTTTTTAGAAGCAGGACACAAAATCTAGAATTTCTAAAAGAAAACATTAATTAAATTTTACCTCAGAATATTTGAAAAATGTGTGGGAAAAATACCATTAACAAAGTCTAAAGATAAATTGTAGTGGAAAAAAAATTTCAACACATATCATAGGCAAAAATTTAATCTCTTAATTTACAAAGAATTCATATAAATCAATAATTTATTTAAATTGACAACAAATATATTTTAAAAAAGATCCTCAATCTCACTAAATAATAAAGTAATTTGAAACTATGAAGTATTGTCCTCTCTTTAGAAAGACAAACATTTTAAAGGTGATAACACTCATTGCTGCTAAGGCAGTAGAGAAAAAGGCATGAACCTGGATTGTTGAAATAATTATAAATCAATACAAACTACTGAAAGTTAATTGGGTAATATTTATTAAACTAGAAGATGCATTTACCTTTTGGTACAGCAATTCTACTGCTAGGATTTATTATTTACCTCTCATCAATGACAAATTCTAATTTATGCTACCAATTAACTTACAAAGATTTACTAAGAATCAGAAACACACACACACACACACACACACACACACACACACACACACAGCTGTCAGTTGCAACATTGGTGATGTTGGGGGGGGGGGGAAGAGGAGGTAAAGGAGACAAGAGATTAACCAAAGAACTATATGCATATATGTATAATCCATGGGGCCTGAGGTGGGGCAGGAGCTGGGTGAGGAGTCAAAAATGGGTAAAATGGAAGACAACTGAAATACTGTTAAAAATAAAAATAAAATTTTAAAGAGAAGAAAAGAAAAACTAGAAACAGCCAAAGTGTTAATCAATAAATGATTAGTTTTGGCATACTTATATGATTGAATACTATTTATAATGCTTCCTGTAAAATAATATTTCTGACATCTCAAGTATTCATACTGTTAATTGGAAAATGAGAAAAGTCAGCTTACAAAATATTTGTAGTGTGATTCTACTTTTTTATAAAAAATAGATATGCACAGTATTTCTACATTGAAAGAAAACTTCAGAATCTATAGCATATGTTTTCTTGTCAATTACACATTTTCTAAGTGCATATACATAAATTTTATAAACAGAAAAAAATACTTCACAAGTTTTAAACTTTGTAGAAAAGAGAAAGGCAATTAAATAATCTGTTCCTTTAAATTCTGTAATTCAATAATCACTAACTAGAGTCCATATCATAGGAGCTTGATAACATTAATGATTAACTGAGAAGACTCGTTGAAAGGACTGCAGGTAAAATGATGTAAAAGCTCTGTTTAGGATTTCGCTGTGGGAACAAAATATGTTCTTATTCATTCTAACCTACTCAACTGGCTCTATTTGCATTGCCTCATTCATCAAATGCTGTCACTTGATATTGCTTAATCCAAGTGTGTGAATATAAGTAGAGTTGGGATATAACTGCCTCAACTACTACCAAGTGTTAACAACAGGAAACCTCATCATTTGAAACCAGCCCTTCATGTTTATAACAGGTGAGTATCATAAACAGTGTGCAAAAATATTTGCCATAAGTTATTGGCAAAGCAGCACAAAAAATGTTTATATTGCGATATAGTCTGAAATATTTCTATTTAAAAATAGGAGAGTAAAGAGTAAACTTTAAGTCTGAAAAAATAGTGAAAGGAGTGATGGTATTTTTTTTTTAAGTAAAAGATTTGTAGGTTGTTTAAAGAGAATGCTTTGATTTTTAGAATAGGATTCTCTGATTCTTGGTAAATCTTTGTAATTTCATTGGTAGCATAAATTCCTAGCAGTAGAATTGCAGTAGAATATTTCCTGACTATGCTTTTGACTTATGTGATTCTTAAAAAACAGCCAGCTTTCTCTGTGTTAGTGACTCAAGCATAAGTGTAGTATTGCAGTTTCTAATATACCTTGCTTAACTCTGCAGGTTTAGAGCAGAGTTCCTCCAAGTATGTTCTCTTAAACTAGTCCATGGGGGTATTAATAGAGCAAGTTATTATTTACAAAATCAAATAATTACTGAAAATAGTTAAACAAAGATACCATGATTCTTCAATGAAGAACTGTCAGCACCTTAACTATACTAATGTAAGTTCTGACTTCCCAAGAGATGGAATATAGATTGGGACATTTTGCAGATTTATTTGAAAATGCAACATTTTATGTTTGTTTGCTTTTTAATGTGTATTCAGGGGAATTATTTTTATAGGGCATAATGATCCATGGATAAAAGAGAAAAAAAATCAGCACTGCAATTTTCATGTTATCAGTAAAGAAGTATTCCTGAATGCCTACTATGTGCAGTTACCATTTGACTTATTTTCTGTACAATTTAAAGTTTAACTACAATAAGGTTACTGACCTGCACTATCCCATGTTATGATGAAAAATTAACTACCATATTCAAAAATTAAAATTTATTATTTCAAAGAAGTTGGACAACCAGCTAAGCATTTGAAGTTAAATTCCCAGTTCTGATTCTTTTATTCCTATATTTGGATGGGGAAGAAAAGGAGACAAGGAAGCTCTGGCATAACAGATAAATTCTGGTCCCAGTTCAACTTTTGTGGTCCTGAGCAAGGCTCTTAATTTTTCAGTTTTACTTGGCCCACTCATCTATAAAGTTAGGAGCTCAGTAAAATGATGTCTAAGGCTCTATACTTCTAAGTGTTCTTGATTAGTGAAGGTGAGAAAATCAGAGAAAGAAGATAAGGATTTATGTGAGGCCCTCAAGCTCTGTGAGGATAATATTCATTCTCAGGGGCAGAAGAGGGAGTCCTCAATTGTCCTACCATTAAAGGATTTTGTTCATGAAACTGTATGAATATAGTATGGCTGCATGGAATATTCTCCTTCCATCTAGACAAGAAAGTTTTAGCCTATTTGGGGTTGGCCAGGGACAAAAATAAAGGTGCGTGAAGTTTATCTTCCAATGAGTCCTTTGACCCAAGAACTCAATGCTGCTTCCTTGCCCTACCAGAAAAGCTGAGCAATATGAAGAGATTTCAATGGTACCCAATCCAATAATTTGGATTTTATTTTCTTTAACCTAGAAAATAAAAGGCAATGCTTAATAAAGGAAGCAATAATTTCTAGTAGAATTCAGCAATGTCAGAGAGATTTTAACACTAGAGAAGAAGTCCCATTTTCCCCACAAACCACAGCATCACTTGTCTTACCTTGATGATGAAGCCAGGTTGCTGAACCCTACTGAAAGAATATGGAGCTTTCTGCAATTTATGTCAGCGAACTCCAGGGTCTTTCAATAGAGTACTGCAGTCCACCGATGATCAAATATTAAATTGGGGACTGGAAGATGGTGATTTTTCTAATTTTGTCATTTGTTCTGTAATAAATAAATTCCTCATTCACTCTTTCTTGATAAATTCTATGTACTTGTGGGTTTGTTTGTTTTTTGTTTGTTTTTTCATCAAATGCCTTATAGTCAATTACATCATGATTCCTTTTGATGTCAAATTGTCCCAAATTTGGCCAGCAGGAGAATCTTCATGCTTCCTTTTGACACAACCTCACTAGTTTTTGAATGATTCACTGCCCTCTGGCACAACAACATATTCCATGTTCACTTCTACTTTCCCAGCCCACATTTAGAGTCCCAGTTCCCTTTAGTGAAAAAAGTACTAAGAAACTAAGATATAGATATACCAACATTACTGATTCAAATTTAACATCATATGAATTCCTTCTTGGATTCTTTTATTTTATATTTGTCATTTCTCCTATAGTGAAAATCCTCTATCCAACGTCTACTTAGTTGCTGTATCGTAAGGTATAACAAATGGTCTCAGAATTCCAATACCAATATTACCATCAACAACAAAACCACTATGTAAAGTTTAAGATTTCTTTGCAGTTCTTTTTGTCTTATATTCCAGCATAGATACATACTCAGAATACTATGTTCAAATTTTACTAAAAGAATTATTTTCTCTTCGTGGTGTGTTATCAATTGTATATTGACTTAGCCACAGTTGTTTCTGTTTGTTTTAAAGTTCAGACAATTGAACTAATACTATATTTAATCCAACAGAAGCCTGAAAAAAAGGACCTGAAATGAAGTGTTCAACTACTAAAATTCCCCCTGCAAAAATGAACAACTCAGCAGGAAAAGTCTCAGTAAAATCTTCCAGGTTGAGAAGTAAGGAATTAAGCATTTCTGATTACTTTACACACTATTTTTATCTGTTATCAAATCTTTACTATCAAATGTTCATACATGCTACTGTTACTAAGAATACAAGAGCTGAAATTGAAAGGGATGGCTCATAAGTGTGCAGTACAGCAGCATTTGGTTTTAAAAAGACTACATATGGCCAACTTTTATTTGATACATCACAGGACAGGAATGGTTCAGATAATTTAAACCTGCTTATAGTAATAAACATAGTTATAGCCCTTCATATCAATCCCTTCTTTCCACCATACCCCCTACCACCAAATCCCAAAGACTTTCCCCCAATTAATTAACAAATTTTAAATTGATCCACTTTCATTCAACAAACATTTATTAAGACCTTTGGTGTATCAAGCTTGTGGTCTTAACTTGCAATTTTTGATAAATGAGAGAATATGAGTGAAGATATTTGAATCATCCAACCCCCAAAGGAAGCAGATTTGACCAAACAATGCTCAATTCTATTCAGTTACAAACTCAAAGGGTTTGTACTAAATTGAAGGGTAAAAAGAACCAAGTAGAAGCCATAGCTTTAGGATGAAAGGGCTATATACTTCTTTGATCCTTATATTACCCATCCTAGGCAATAATTATACAATTTTATACTTATGTTTTTTCATCATAAGGAACAGTTATACAAAAGAGTTAAGAGAGCCCTGGTGGGCTAGAGCCAAAACAGAGGATGAGGAATGCTGGTGGAGACTACATATCCTATGTAATATAGTAGGCTCCTCTCCATTTCCCTGAACATCTCTCAGGCCAGAAGAGAAAGCAGTGTTAAAGTACATCATTTCTATTCTCCCTAAGGCTCTGGCTCACCCACAGTGTTCTTTAGTAACCAGGGAAAAAACTAATTTGGCTGTGATTTCTATATGGCCAGGAAATCACAGTTGTTAGGTTTTTTTGTGTTGTTGTGTTTTGTTTTGTTTTATCTGAGTCTGAGTCAAACTGCTCTATGTAGAAACAGTGACTCAGTGGAAATGACTCTGCATCCCAAATTCCCTCTTAATAAATAATGTATTGTCTTTGTACCTCAGGAGATGTAGACTCTTTAAGATACTGGAATAAGGGAGCAGGCTGGAGTTTACAGCAGAGTTAGTGTCACTGATACAGAAGTTAAAATGTAACTTCTTCTTTAAGGTTGCAGTGGCTTATTTACAACATTTAGAAAAACAATAATGAAAGTATCCCCAAATCACTTATATTAATATCATATTATTTTAATTGTCCCTTAGCAGATCTTCCTTATCAATAATATTGGCTCTATTTAACACTAAAATTGTCATAATTTATTAGTAAACACTCCTGGCTCCAAACCTGAGAGCTGTGAGGTGTGTTAACAGGTATAAACCACTTCTCAAAATCCAGGGTGCAATAAATGTCACATTTTTCCAAAGAAAATGCTCTGAGCCCTCAAGCAAAAAAATTAAAATTAAAAAAACTAATTTTAATTACTTTTCCTCCCTTGATCTAACATGATCTGACACAATCCACAGCTCATAATGCCACAAAACTCATTATCGAACCACTGTAGGTATCCACACAGTCAGGTTCCCTATGAGTTCTGTTCACCACTACGCCATTTCATTTTTAGTGCCAAGGAGATACAGGAACACTTCATGAGCTAGAGGAAAGCCCCTCCTAAAAATCATCCCATTCCAAGTTTACAGGAGGCTACTCCCCAAAGTCAGTCTATTCTCCTCTGCTACTTCCTCTTCTCCCCCATCCATCAATTCTTTGCCTTCCCTGACAATCCAGCTTTTGGATGTATACAGCCAGAGGTCACAATATAGAGAGCCTTGAGAGATTCACCCAGCAGAAGTATTTTATTTGGCCTGAATGCTATTATTGATGTTGTTTTTTAATTGAGGCAACAATTATAGATTAGGATTTTGTATAAAAATCTGAATGTGTTATTTTGAAGAAAAAAAAATCTGAAGATCTAGTAACACTGGCTCATATTCCTACATGCAACAGTTGGAGATAAAGATGGGCAGAGATCACACACTAGTTTGTGTCTGTCCATGGAAAATCTTTTGTTACAGTGAAGTAGTTTGTGGACAGTAGAGAATCATTGGAAATGTTTAATTGGGGGGAATTACAAGATATTTTTATTTTAGACAAGTCACACTGGTGGTGGTGTGAAGAGAGACTGAGGGGACATGCGTAGAAACTAAGACTTGTCAGAAGTTTACTACATTCATCTAGGGGACTAATAATGAGGGCCTGACCTAAAACAACAGAAAGTAAAGGAAGGACTAAACTTCACATACTGTCAGAAGGTGAAATCATGAAGATTTAGTGACATATAAAAGAAATTAAGAGAGAAAGAAGGAAAAATGGATGTTTCTCAACTTACTGATTTAAGAATTGGGCAGACAATGGTAGACAGTGGTGCTGTTTTTCAAGATAGTGAATTCAGGAAGAATATATTGGGGGTAGGAAAGGGTAAAAAAAAATTATTATTGTGAATATAATTTTAATTTGGAGGAGGTATAGACCATCCAGGTAGAGGTATCCAGAGTTAAGGAGGCTTTATATAGATAGAGATGTTTTATGGTAGCTGAAGTCAAAATGCCCTGTGGAGAAAGAGCAACAGATATAAAACTAAGGAGAGAGAATAAAGGTAGAGTTACAGTTTGAGGAGTCGCCAGTATATAAAAAGATGACTGAAGTTGTTGAAGCAAGCAAGATTGCTCAGAAATAAAAGTCTAGAGTGAGAGGAAAAGGCAAAGGGCAAAATTCTGAAGAACACCAATATTTAGGATCAAGGTAAAGAAGAAAGAACTAACAGAGAGATCAAGACGGACTGATCAGAGAGGAACAAGAAGAATCTAAGGAAACTGTTGACCTGACAATAAAGGAAGAAGGATGTGGTCCCTAAAGTCAAATGCCACAGACAGGTAAAAGGTAGTAAGCAATGAGAAGACACCATGGTGAAAAGTGTTTGGGGAAGAAATGAAAGATGAAGTGATTTGCTTCTATAGATCCTGTCAGCCATAGTTTGGGTCTCCAAGTGGCAAAATTACAGGCAGATTTCCAAGCCCCTCCCCATTTACTTCCCAGAAATGCCTGAGAATTTCAACATGCTGATGCTATGGTGAAATTAGTTATTTTCTTAAAAGCTATAATAAGACACTGCCCTCACACAGCAAATATGATGGAGATTGAGAAAGTGGCAACAGCCCTTACGTAAGCTTGACCTGGGCCTTTGACCCCAATGGAGCACTCTCCTACACTGTGCCCATGGCCATGTCAGCTATGTGCTTTCCTCCTGAGAACACAACCCACATACCACATTTCCAGCTGCCCTGAACACCAAAGTATATCTTCTTTCAAATACTCCATGTAAAGTATCTTTAACACAACTATAATCACCCCCAATGAATTACAGCCATTGTTTGTCCTGTACATCCATATCTTTAGCCTGACTCTTCTTGTACATCCACAATACTTTAATATCTTGATCCTCACTTCTAACTACCCAAGACCCATATTCCACTCCCCACAGAGTCCACTCTGAATATAAGACATGTCTGTCATGTCCCTATGGGATACTGATAAGCATATAAGGAATGAGAATACTTGCGGTATCATCTTATACCTTTTAGGTCTGAAGAGAAAACTGACACAGTAAATAAAATATTGTATTAAATTAGTTATCAGGAGACCAAGTTCAATGCTGGCTCTGGCACAGCTTTGTAAATTATCTTTGTTAACTCTAAAAACGTTATATTAATGTGCAATACCATAGTTGATATTTCTGAATTTGAAGTAATGTTAAGGAATTCCAGGGTGGGTATGAGTACAATTAAGTGATCTTGCCCTGTTCAGACAGTTGAAGGTAGATGCCCATCTAAATTGGAGGCAAAATATAGATAATTCAAAATGGTAGCTAACAAATGTTTATTCTACTTGACTTTAAAAAGCATACTAGTAATGCAAATATTAGAGAATAAAAAAAAAATCATAAAATGGATCCCAAAGTCACAAGTAATTATTTTCATTTTCTGAAATTGCTTGATAACTCATTTACTTACTATAATGTTGAGAGTTGAGCTCCTTTGACTCAGGTGTTATAACTTTCATTTCTACTTGACACTGAAAGTCTTTTTGTAATTTCAAAGTAGCAATTTTTTTATTTTAGACTTTAATTTTTCTTTGGTTAATTAAATTAAATTCTAATAAAATTAGAATTATTGATAATTAATATTTTTAATTCAAATGATTTAATTTGAGCTTATATTTTGTTAGTCCCTAAAATTGTACTGTAATATTTTCTTAGATAGAGGCAGATGGAAAGAATATATTATATATACATATATATATATATATATATATATATATAATTATATATATAATTGATTTCAGAGAGGAAGGAAGAGGTAGAAAGAGATAAAAACATTAGTGATTAGAATCATTGATCGGCTGCCTCCTGTATGCCCCCTACTGGGGATCAAGCCTGCAACCCGGGCATGTGCCCTGACCAGGAATTGAGCTGTGACCTCCAGATTCATAGGTCAATGCTCAACCACTGAACCACACCAGCTGGGTGTAAAAAGTATCTTTGATATTAGATACACTTGAGTCACAACTTCTCACCAGACCTGTAACTTTGGTAAGTGTCATGACTCCTAGATCATCATCTGTAAAATGAGAAGGATAATACCTGCTTTGCTTGCTATATTATTATGAAGGATTACATGACATAGTAGGTAAAATTATTGGTACAATTATTTGGGTTGATTCACTGCAGACACTTAGTAAATGACAGCTATTTTTAAAATCAATAACCAGAAAAGATTCCAAACTTTATATGATCATAAGAATCTCCCCTCAGTGAAGCAAAGAATAATATATGTTGGATGTAGGTCCACACTCCCTTATATTGAATTCTGAAAAACAAATTTTTTTTCTAAAGACCTAAAGTCTTTTATAACTCTTTTGACAGCAAAATATGACCTAAATTCACTTAACAGTTAAAGCCTGAGCTGAATTACCATGAGGTCTTTATTCCACCTTATATACAATTTTCCATATTTCACTACAATATTATTAATTTTTGATTTGGGTTATTGCCCTAGTCCCTGCTGGGAGTGCTAAATATATGTTCCACATGACAATTCTAATATCTAAAAAACTCTAAATCTTGAAACACAAATGACCCAAAAGTTTCTAACAAAATACCATGGATCTGCAGTTTCTTTCTTGGTCTGCTACACTCAGGGTTTATTAAAGAATGAAAGTGGATGAATGCCCAGACAATGTAGCTCAGTGGTTGAGTGCTGACCAGTGAACCAGGAGGTCACAGTTTGATTTCTAGACAGGGCACATGCCAGGTTGTGGGCTTGATCCCCAGTGTAGGGCGTGTAAGAGGCATTTAATCAATGATTCTCTCTCATTATTGATATTTCTCTCTCTCTCTCTCTCCCTTCCTCTCTAAAACCAATAAAAATATATTTTAGAAAAAGAAAAAGAAAATGAATGGAATGAAACAATATCACTTTTTTTGTTTGTTTGTTTAGAATCCCAACAGAAGGGTGAAGAAATTTGCCAGGTGTACTTTATGCAGCTACGCTCTGGCCTTATCATAGAAAAAAAAGCTTGTTACTTTAGGAAAGAAACCACCAAAAGGCATTCACCAAACTCAGGTAAGGGAAAACTACAATTCCTGGTAATTCTTTAATATAGTGATGAGCATCTTTTTGCCTTCAATTTCTACATTTAGGTATGTAAATTTTTTCCCTCACACAAATTTTCCTTCTGGGAAAGAGTAAAGATAATAAATTCTTTTAAGCCATTTTTAAAAAGGTTTATAAAGAGTTTTTAATATAATGGGAGAAATACTTATGTTATAATGTTAAGTGAAAACAGAGGACATAAAATAATATATATAGGTATACCTCGAGAATATGCGAGTTTAGTTCCAGCCCACCACAATCAAGTAAGTTGTAATCCTTCACTGGTAGAGGGCCTTGCCTTCAATTTGTAAGAAATGCAACATCTGTAAAACACAATAAAGCAAAGTGCAATAAAGTGAGGTATGCCTGTATATTAACAATATCTCTTAGGTGATTTTTTTTTTCATTTAAAGGAAGTACAATAAACTAAAATGTTCATAGTGGTTGCCTTTTGGGTGTTGAGACATGGGTAACTAGTTTTTTCCCACCTGGACTCCAGTGGGTGGTGCCCTTCTGGAGTGTAAGAGGGCCAAGAGGTACTGAGCTCTTCTAACCATGGGGTGGCCAAAGTCCTGGGGTCAGTCACCACTGTCAGCAAGCAGCCATGACTGTGACTCTTCAAGTGGGGGTAGAGGGGGTGGAGAGGGGATCTGGGCAGAGTGAGCACTTATAGTCCACTCCTAACTCCATCTGTCTTGCAGCTGAAGATTACAATGAGCAAAATCGGCTACTCGCTACCTATCAGACACGCCTGGAACGATTTGGACAATCGACAAGGGGCTTTGCCTTTAGTGCCCAAGGAAATACTAGAACAAGGGATGAATCATCAAGAATCCTAGGTGTGACTGGTTAAAGGGGTGGTATGGGTGAGAGGAGGGAGGTAGGAAGCAGCCCCAAGTCTATGTCTTCAAGAATATTATAAATTTTTGTCCATTTTCTGCTGATGTGCCCATTAGGTGGTTATTTAAAATAAGTGCAGGGCAACTGCTCTAACAATGCATACACATTCTATAGTTAGCACTCCATTGTTATTTTGAAATGTCTGCTATGGATTGGAATTCCATATACATTATTCCTGGGGAAAATACATTATTCTTTGTGGGGGAGGGGGAACCCAATACATTATTCCCCCAAATTTCAACATTTTGACAATAAAAAAGAAGGGGCTATTAAGTATTTTAAGTATAATTTCAACTAAATAGTTTAAATAGTTGTTAAAATTATTTTAAGTTGCATCACCAACTGAGTAAATTAAGTCCAAATTGACTGTGACTATCAAGAAGTGAAGAGATCAACTGAGAAACTTGACTAGGAATTGCAATTGCCATTTCAAGTATTATTCCTGACATAAATGTCTTAAATTCCCAGAAAAATACTGAAATTGTTCCCTAAGTATTTTTAATTCATTTTACTTTAGAAGTTTACATACAAATTCAACGTTTAACATACTCATTAATATTTTGTATATTTTTCTTAGCATAATTCTATAATGTAAAGAAAATATAATATTTTCTTCCCCAGGACCCATATAGATAGTTTCTAAATCTACTTCAATTTACATCATTGAAATATTATAATTTTCCATGTATGTTGAAACATTTTAAAAAGTTGGGAGTACTGCTCTCAGTGTCTCTGTTATTTTGCCAGAGTTCAGAAGGGGCTCACAACTGTGTTCTCCAGGACTATTGCAAGTCTCAGAACAACTCCACACCTTACAGATGGGTATTTATTTATCCATGTCTATTTAAATTCTGTCCCTTCTTACCTACAATTCCCTAGTCCATGGGGAACCAGGAAGCCGGGGTTTCCTCAGGCAATGCCTGTCACTTTTCCAGTTTCTTTCTTCCCAACCAAAACCTCCCATAAATATACTCGCATGGCCTCCCACATCCTTCATGCAATAAATTGGTGCCTTTAATCCCATTCAGGTGGTACAGTTCAGCTTTGAGCTATGTTAAACTTGCACCAAAGGTTTTTATCCATCCAACAGCAATGGACAAAGTACAGCTCAAATAACTATAATAAAAAGCCTTTGGGGAGGCATTTTTTTTAAATGCTAAATAATTGTTTATGAGAACAAGTTTTTGTATTCTTAATGACAAGATTTTCACTTGTTACAGAGCGTTGTGTTTCCCTGAGCACATACAATGATCAAGCCATTACTTTTGTTTTTTCGGATGGAGGTTATGAGATCTATATTGAAGATTTGAGGGGAAAAGATGAGAAAGGTAGAATATTTCCTTTTGTCTATAATGATATAGTGATTACTAATAAGTAAAAAAATAAATTTACCAAACCATTAATAATGGATTAACTCAGATATGGAAAATGGATCTTCTGTTGTGTGTGAACTGTGATGAGTTGGCAATAGATGCTTGAATATCACTGTGTTGAGGAGGATTACAAAGCTTAGTAAGCGTTCATCAGGAGGAAAGAACACTGACATTGAGAAGTGGTGTCTGTTGTGAAAGATGGAAGGAGGACCATATATATTTGATATTGCTAAATTACTTACTAGATCTATCTAATCTTATCAATGTCACCAAAGTAAATCCTCAAATATTAGTATGTCTGCCTTAGCTGGGTGGCTCAGCTGTTTAGAGCTTCATTCTATACACCAAAATGTTGTGGGAGGTGGGAGAAGGAGGAAAGAAGTGGGGAGGGGTTCCTGATCAGGACACATACCTAGGTTGTAGATTCTTCCTCAGTTGGGGTGAGTATGGAAGGCAACTGATTGATGGTTCTCTCTTATATCAATGTTTCTTCTCTCTCTCTCTCTCTCTCTCTCTCTCTCTCTCTCTCTCTCTCAAATCAATAAGCATATCCTTGGGTGAGGATTAAAATATATATATGTGTGTGTGTGTGTGTGTGTGTGTGTGTGTGTGTGTGTGTGCTATGAACAATATTTTAAGTATTTTATGGGGAATTCATCAGAATATACCATTATTTTGATTTTATGCATTCTCTTTCAGACAAAGTATTATTCCATTACTATAACTCACAGTCACCTGCAAGTGAAACAGGTAATTTGAATAGATATAATGTTTGAATTCTTGAATTTGACAAAAAATAAATCCAAAAACGCTCCATGTAGAAAGGGAGGCTGTCTCTGAAGGTTCTCTCCAGCCCAAGCTCATAGTGAAATCTTAGATTCTTAGAGGATTTACTCCATTCCAACCATTTTGCATTTTTATAGGATAAATGTTTAGCTACATTTAAGAGACCCAGAATAATGGGTGCTAAGCTACACAAATTTTAATTCTGTCTAAACCAGGGCTGGGATGAGAGCTCTATTGAATAGGATGTCCATGAATTTAGCTCCTTCTCTCTTTGTGGCTCTGCTAACACCTACATCAGGGGTGAGGAATCTTTTTCTTCCATGGGTCATTTGAGTATTTAAAACATCATTTGAGGGGCATACAAAATTATCAACCTAAAAATTAGTCTGCTATAATTGGTCAAACATTTAATTAACTCACCCCTAATGCCTTGTCAGGGCTAGACCAAATTATTTCTGGGGCTTATATTGCCTATGGACTGGACGTTCCCCACCCCTGATCTACATGTTTTAAGATTACTTTAGCCCTGGCCAGTTTTGCTTAGTGGTTACAATGTCAGCCTTCAGACTAAAGGGTCTTGGATTCAATTCATGTCAAGGGCACATACCTTGGTTGCAGGCTAGATCCCTGCCCTAGTAAGAGCATGTGTGGGAGACAACCAATCTATGTCTCTCTCACATCATTGTTTCTATCTCCCTATCTCTTCCCCTCCCTTCCATTCTCTCTAAAAATCAATGGGAAAAAATATCCTCAAGTGAGGATTCACAACAACAAAAAATTATTTGCCCCCATGACAATATCCAATTAGATGGGCAGAGAAAAATGGGTATGTGAATTCTCTTTCCCTTTTAGGACACAACCTAGAAGTTACACCTGACATTCAACTCACCTCACATTGGTCAGAACTTAGTCACATTGCTACACTTAGCTACAAAAATATGTTCTATTATATCACAAGAAAAGGAGTTGAATGTTGGGGGACAACTATCTGTGGCTTTACATGCAGACAGACAAACACTCAGAGAAATACTCATTAGAGTTCCAATTCTACAATTAGAAAGCATGTAAGAAAACTAACCTCTCTTCTCAAGGGGCTTGGAATTATCCCCTACTTACTCAATGACTCTTTAGTTTCATTTAGGTATAAATTTCTAAGAGACATGTTGCTGAATGAAGTAGTTATTTTACATGACATTGTAAACTTGTTTTCTGGTTGTTAAGTTTGTTTAAGTTAAAATTAGTTACAATCTTTAACTTATAATTTACATTTTTTTAATTGCAAGGTGATGATGTTGATGGTCACAAATTAATGGTAAGGATAAGTCCTGCAAATAACAAAAACTTCTTGCTGCATGCCAACAACAAGGAGCACTCTGTGGAGGTAACAGAAATATGCACTTAACTATTGTGATTAATATCAGTAGTTTGTATGGATTTGGGTGTTTGGATATTTTGAAGAAGGATTTTTGTTTGTGCTATTGTACATAAAACACAATGAGTTACTACCAATATCTTGCTCTTGGAGCTACTTAAAGTCTAGTCTCTGCCAGCAGTTTAGCCTCCCCTGGGAGCATGTTAGAAATGTGGAATTTCATTGTCAAGGAGAAAGACCAAGCTGTAGTAGGAAAAACATCACTTTCATACTCAAAACAGAAATACTTTGCATGCCACATATGGTCGACTGCCATTTACCATTCATGCTTGACACCTCTTAGAGTCTATAGGATCTGGAAAAGGAACACTATATTTCTCAGATGCTCTTATAGGTAGGGTTTTTGTTGTATATAAAGAACTGGCATATGTATGCATTCACAAGAGATGTAAAATGTGAAAATAAAACAGAAGTTTTTTTGCAAAAAAAAAGTGGAATTTTAGGCTCCCTCACAATTGAATTAGAATCAGCATTTTAATAAATCTCCAGGAGATTCAAATGCACATTAAAGTTGGAGAAGCACTATTATATAGAATGACCTCAATCATTCCTATTTGGCTTTAGGAAGTATTGTGTTCTTCTAGGAAGTGTTTCTTTGTAAAATATAGTTTTGTTATTTATAGAGTATAAATAACTTTATACTCTAAGCCTACTAAAGGGAAGGTCATAAACATTTCCATATGCCAAGATTTATAGGTAGCATAACAATCTACATTCTATTCATAGGATTCACTGCATAGTCTTCTTCAGTTAGTAAATGGCAGTATTATATTGGTCATGAAGAATTATAAACAGCCCAGCTGGCATGGCTCAGTGGTTGAGCATCGACCGATGAACCAGGAAATCACAGTTTGATTCCCAGTCAGGGCACATACCCGGCTTCCCTCTGGCACCTGGGAATCGGGCTTCCCTCACAGCCCTAGCTTCATCCAGAAGGATGTGATTCTAATTAGCATATTATGCTTTTATTACTATAGATTAAGTAACAAAGAAGCCAAAGGTGGAGACAAGTAAGAAAACATAAAAGTCTAATATAGAAGATAAATTATATACACAAAATTATAAAGCTAACTCATACAGCCATGTAAGGTATTAATATAAACACTGATGGTAACTAACATCTCCCTTAACAAAACATTCTTGAGTATATATAACAGTGTTTGGCATATAATTACTCAGCAATAAGAGCTGACCCATACTGAGCTCTATTATATATCAAACACTATGCTAAATGTTATATAACTACTATATCATTTAATTCTCACAGTAACTATAGTAGAGTTACTGTATTGGTCAGGTATTGCTGTGTAACAAAACATCCCAACACTTAGTGGCTTAAGATAATAATCATTTTTATCACTCACATATTTGTGGGTAAATTAGGGGCTGACTGATCTAGAAAACTAGGTAAGTTTTATAAAAAATAAAAATAAAAAATGAGGCCTGAGAAGTAAAGCAATGTGCCCAGATCTCAGAGTTAATATGTGGCAAATCAGGGGTACAAATCCAGAACTATTGCATATAGATCCAGTCATTTTAAGCCATATGTCTCTCAAAGTATATTATTAGTGAATCAAATCAAATTTTCCCACTTTGACCCTCTACTTCCAACCCTTCCATCCCCTGCTCATTAAGCAGCTTTGCTAAAAACACCAAATTATAAGTAATTATTCCCCTTTATTTTCTAATACAGGGGTATGGAGTTGACTCTGGACTTCCTACTCACATATTGGTTGCTTTCTCTCTTGTTTCCACAGCTACAAAAATATGAAAACTCGTTGCCAGACCAGACTTTATTTCTTCTTCATACAGAGCTCGGGCCCTCGTCATGTGTTTCCTTTGAATGTATGAACAATCCCGGACTGTTTATAGGAGTAGAGAATAACCATCTTAGTCTAATTAATTTAAAGGACAAGACTGACCATTTAATAAGAGAGAATATCAGATTTAAGCTCTCTTAAATGTAAGAGAGAGAGAGAGACAGAGAGAGAGACAGACAGACAGACAGATAACATTTAAGGGAAATGGAGAGTGCTTAACATGCTGTGGAATGTTTTATGCATTTTATGTTAAAATTGTATATATTTGTAATCCTCAGTTCTGTTTTTTATTTCCCTCTGTATTACTGCATATTCAATACAAATATTCGTATATTAAATAGGGTATTGTTAAAGCAACCCGCCAATATTCTAAAGACATACAGACCTTTACTTTTTTCTACTTTCAGTCCAGAGAGAACTTTATATTTAGAGCTGAGATCTCTGGAAAGAAACAAGCTTTAGCTCAAGTCTCATTTCAGACATAGATCCATTTTATTTTATTTTATTTATTTTTTTAATATATTTTATTGATTTTTTTGCCCCCCTCCTTCCCTCCCACACATCCCCTCCCTCCCCAGAGTTTTATGTCCATTGGTTGTACTTATATGCATTTATAAAAGTCCTTCAGTTGACAGACATAGATCCATTTTAAAGAGCTACATGTGGACATACTTTTCCCAGGTTCCAAACAATGGGCTCAAACACAATAGCTGCTAGTAAAAACCAGATGCTGCATAGAGTGACTACTTCACAAATTCCAAATTAGTAGATGCCCAAAACTTCAGGTGCCTACAAGACTAGGCAGGTTATATATATATATATATATATATATATATATATATATATATATATATATATATATATATGATAATTTCAAAATTAAGAAAAATAAATCCAGTACAGATTTGTGAAGTGGGTGATTTCACTACTAATTTTTCATTTTAAAATTCTTATTTTTATAAGACCAAGTTAACTATAAATAAAGCAAGGCATTCTTGCATTAGGAAGTGAAATAAATTTTAATTCAGACCTATAATTAGAATCATTAGGAATAAACTAAAACAGTTTTTTTGAAAAAGCACTAAGCCACAATTTAGGTTAGGGCATCCAAGGACCATGGTGGGGACAAAAGTCCAAGATGAAACACAAAATCAATATTACACAATATTACAATTTCACTAACTGGCTAGCCCTCATGTTTGTGGCATACCATGTCATTCTGACCCAAACTTCCAGAGATCAATGACTTTTTATATACTTATCACCTTGGATAAAATTCCTCCTAACCCTTCATTGTCCAACTTACAAATGACCCAACTTACAATGAAATATGTATTTGATTTCTATTTTACCTTCATTTCTTTTGACCAACTGTGTTCTTGATATACCTTTGGTATCCCAAGCTTAATTTCCAAATCACCTGACATATGAATGCCAGAACTTTTATTCTGCTTTGTCTAGCTGATATAAAATTTTACATAAACTTATTGATAGCAATATTTTTAAAACATTTTTGTGTTTTACTGTTACTAAGGTAGTAAAATAATTTATACTCAACCATAATAACATTTCCACTACTAATGGAATAATTTCTGCTTATCTTAAGGCATTAACAATTTCTACTACAATTTTTCATAGGCTTAACACTGACAATAAATGATAAATATAATAATAGAATACATATGAAATATGACTTTTTCTCAAACTGTAGGCTCTTTGATTTCTAATTTGTTTAAATCTACTGGATATAGTATGGGGGGGGGATTGGTAAGATATGCAACACATATAATACCTTAATAAAAAATGAAAGAAGAAAAAAAAATCTACTGGATATAATTGCTGGTGGAACGTAAGATAAAGAGGTTGAGAACTGTAATATAGGGACAAACAAGTGTAGAACAATAAAACTTTGTTTCATTACTTTGCCAATAATTTTACTACTATAGAGATTAAAAAAAAATCTATACCATCTCCTCTGCAAAAACTAAATATTGACTCTGTGCATTTTGCATGACATACTTAAAATTATTATTATTATTAAGTAACCAAATATATCCATTACATTATTTTTTAATATATTTTATTGATTTTGTACAGAGAGGAAGGGAGAGAGATAGAGAGTTAGAAACATTGATGAGAGAGTCATTGATCAGCTGCCTCTTGCACACTCCCTACTGGGGATATGCCCGCAACCAAGGTACATGCCCTTGACCGGAATCGAACCCGGGACCCTTCAGTCTCCAAGCTGACGCTCTAGCCATTGAGCCAAACCGGTCTCGGCCCATTACATTATTTATATTCTTAAATAAACTATATTTTTCAAAAGTATGTAAAGCCATAATGATTTTTTTTCATAAAACAGTTCAATATTTGAAAATTCTTATGTGAATATAAGCATATCACAATACGGCAATATTGGAGTAGGTCATTTGTCTGATACTTTTGGTGATTCAAAACTAAGTAAGATTTTCCAGAGTAGGAATTGTATCTTTCTTTACCTTTGTACTCCAAGTGCCCATCATGGTGATCAACACATGGCAGGTATTCAGTGACTTTAACCCAAGATCAATTAGCCAACATGTATCTGCATTAGAACTTTAACCTGAGACTTCTGACTCCTTATTTAGATACCTTTCAACCTGGCTATCTTTTTTAAAAATATTTTTCCATCACCACTTTAGTAGGTGTTTTTTGACTAAAGTATTAAAATGTGTAGTGGCCTTTTGTCATTCACTTGCATGTGTTTTGATGGTCCACAACAAATTACTGGAAGCAGCCTGTCCATTTTATTATATCAGAAATGACAATTATGTCAAAACTTATTTTCCTTTATTTTATGTATAATCTTTGGATCTTTTATGTATTTATTGAATAGCTTGAAATATTGTCAATTAAATTTTTTCTGAATGAGTAAAGTTACTTGGAAATGGAAAATAAAACAGAGTTGAAATTTGGGGGAATTGGGTATAAAGTTGATCATTTAATTAGAGCATTAAAAGATTGATTCATAAAGTCTTAAAAGATTGATTCATAACCTCTACATCTGTGGCACAAAACAAGCCAAAAAATAATAATAATTTCAACTTATACAATATATAGTAAAACTCCAATTCTGCAGTACACAGTTACACAAAGGTGAGAGAGATCAGTGTGCGTTTCTCCTTAGGGAAAGAAATCAGACTGAATTCTCTATCCCCATACCCTAGTGCTCATCCCTGTTCTATTCATATATCTATTCTCAAGGTCATGTTAAACAGGTTCCTTCCTCAGGGATCAGGCAGAAGGGAGAAAATTCAGTTGTTCCAAATCTTAATAGCCAGGGTTGGGTCTAGGGAGCTAAGGAATCTGAGGAATGAATGAATGCAAGAGACAGAAGTGAAAGGCAATTGGTAGAGATAGAATCTATGAGCTATTTCCTGTTAAGGTGCCAAGGTGATGAAACACTTGTCTGAGTGCAATTATAGTCCCAGCTCAGAAGACACTCCCATAAAAAGAATGCATGAATCACTAACTAGCATATTAAGAACATAGGCTTGGTTTACTACTTAATAGTCTGTATAACTTCAGCAAATTATGTAAGTTCTCTCCATCTCTGTTTATTCTCTGTAAAATGAGGAGGTACTAAATGTTGTGGTAGCTTACCTAATATCCATTACTACCAATCCTATTTCCTTACCATCAGAACCTCATTTTTTTCTGGGAAGCACTTTGCCCAACTAAAAACACACTCCTTCCCAGACTCCCATGCAGTTGATGTGGTAACCATTTGACATTGTTGTGGACAATAAAATATAGATAAGATAATGGTTTAAGAAAAAAAAAAATTAAAGAAGACATATTCAACTCACATGTCCTTTTTCACCCTCTCCCCTTCTTCCTACTTAGACCCTAGATATGGGGCTGTATGTTGAACAGCCAACTTCTGATAACTAGGTAAAGAGCATGGGGACAAAAGCCTACACATTAAAAATGGCAGGAGGGAAAGATGGAAGCACTCTGATGTAGTGAACAATATTGGTATTCTGCCCAAATCCCATTGGATGCCTTTATACTGTATTCTTTTATAAAATTTCTATGGGTACCACACACCCACACCACTACCACCACCATCTTTTATGTGCTTTCAATATCCAGCACTTGCAGCTCTTCTTAGAAGGGTTGTTATTACGTACTGGTGCTGCTTACATAAAAAGATTTCAGTTTTTGTAAGTCTGAATTCTTCCCATCAGCTTCGCAAGGTTTCTGAATGCCCAGCTCCCTTGTCTTGGGTGAAAAGGTTCTGTCCTCATTTTTACTCAAAAATTCCCCTCCAGTGTTCAAAAATTCCTGTCTGCTATACTTCAGCATTAGATCACCTGCTTGCTTAGATTCCTGTCCATTCTTGCCAAACCCAATTCCCTTTCTTGGGAATATTTCCTAGTAAATCACATGCTCATACTAGTAAATCCTTAACTCAGGGTCTGCTTCTAGGGAGTCTAATGCAAGACACCACATCACATATGACAGTTTTGTTGCCATACTAGTCTTGCAGAATCAACTGCAGACTTTCTTGTTAAAGAGAAAAATAATCCCATGTGTGCTAAGTTGGGGTTGGGTTTTCTGTTGCCATGTGACATTTAAAGCAAACTTTGCCCACAGAAGAGATAATAGTAACACTGATAAGATGGGTACACTGATAAGAATTGTCTTGCACATAGCAACATTCAGTGAATATTAGCATAGAAAAACAAGCAAACCTGATTGGTATTAAATGAGAAAAGTTTTTCTTAGTTTCAATCAGAAGATAAGAAGACACAAGGAAATCCCTCTATTACTTTAAGAAAAGTCACCCTGTAAGAGATAAAGTGGGGGAAAGAATCAGAATAGATGAGATCTTATAGACATGGAAGTACTCCAGCAAATGAATAGGTATACATTAGATTATACTTCTTAACCTATAAATAGTTTTCAGATGTATCAAATACCACATTATAAATATTAAAAGATTTAATCATAAAAACAAAAAAGTATCTATATTCCTCGAAAAGTTCATTGTATATATAAAAATAGTCATGGGGATATAAAGTACATTATAGGGAATCCTATATAACAAAAGGCTAATATGCAAATAGACCAAACAGTGGAACAACTGGAACAACTAAACAACTGAACAACCAGTCACTATGACTGCACTGACCATCAGGGGACGTGCGCGGAATATGGCAGGCATTGGCCACAGAGGGATGGTGGAGCAGGTGAGCAGGTGTGCCAGACCAAGGCAGGGCAGCAGTCGCTGTC